TTTTAATGCAGGACATATACATCTCAAGTAAAAATGGAAAGACATAAATAAATTTTACTAAATTTACTAATCACGGAATAAAAAACTGAAAATGTGGAGCAATAAATGTAACCAAGGCATCAGTATTCAGAACACACAAAGAAAACCTATAAAACAATAAGAAAAATGTAAGTGAGTATAGAGAAAAATTTGGCAAGGGTACGAATAAGCAGTTCAGTAAAGAGGAAATCTGGAGTGTTGAAGACAGCAAAAATGTGTAATATCACTATAAATCAGGGAGACAAAATACTGTGAAAATGTCCATTTTTTAAAACAAATCAATCACAGTAAGAATTGACAAGAATCTGTAAGTGGGATCTCTTATACACAGCTGTGGGAGTATAAATTGGTACACATACTTTGGAAAATAAATATCAATATTTAGTTAGGTTGAAGATATTTTTGTTCTATAAGGTTTTTCTAGTGGCTCAGCAGTAAAGAACCCACCCGCTTATGGAGGAGACATAGGTTCCATCTAGGGTCAGAAAGATCCCCTGGAGAAGGAAATACCAACCCACTCCAGTACTGTTGCCTGGGAAATCTCATGGACAAAGGAACCCGGCAGGCTATAGTCCATGGGGTCAGAGAAGAGTTGGACACAATTTAATAGACTCAACAACAAATTAAAGTTCTATAACCCAGCAATTCCATTTCCAACTCTATACTCTATAGCGGCTCTCACCATATGAGGGAACCAAGTAAAGGAATTTTCACTGGCTTTATTTTTAACAAAAGAACATAGAAACAATCTGAAGCTCTATCAACAGGGGAGTCTATTAAAATTCTGTTATATTCATATGCTCAAATACCATACAGCAGTTACAATAAATGAAGTAGAGATAGGTGTAACAACAGGATAAAAATCTCAAAATTGCTGTTTAAGGGAAAAAAAAAAGATTTACTGGATGTTATATATTATATGATGCAAACAATATAAAGTTGAATATGAAGCAAATAGTATATAGTGTGATTGTAAATAAAAGGGAAAAATGTACAATTCATATGAGAAGGGTAAGTAATACATTTAACTTGGTAATTGGTTCATTTTATGGAGAGAAGGCAGGATATGTTTGGGGAAGGAGTGAACAAGAGGCCTTTATTGATAATCATGAATTTATTTACAAAATGAGACATAAAGACTCATTAGACATAGAGACTACTATGTATCAATAGATGAATGTACGGATGATTGGGGACAGTGTTGTTCTTTATATTATTTGCCATCACTTGCTATATGCTAAATATAGTTTATAATTTAAAAAAAAAAGGTTCAGAAAAACTTCTTTGATCTTATTCAGTCATCACCTCGTAGATCAGTCCGTAAAGAATCTGTCTGCAGTGCAGGAGACCCTGGCTGGATTCCTGGGTTGGGAAGATCCCCGAGAGAAGGAAGTGGCAACCCACTCCAGTATTCTTGCCTGGAGAATCTCATGGACAGAGGAGGCTTGCAGGCTACAATCCATGAGGTGGCGAGAGTCGGACATGACTTTGTGACTAAACCATAGGTTTCTCCTCCATAAAAAGCCTATGAAAAAATCCTTTTTCCAATTCTAATTTCCATTTTCTCTGTCTCAAGTGATGGCTCGTGACTATTCTTTAATTTTTAATATTTATTTACTTTTTTTATTTAGGGACTTCCCTAGTAGCTTAGATGGTAAAGAATCTGCCAGCAGTGCAGGAGACCTGGGTTCAATTCCTGGGACGGCAAGATCCCCTGGAGAAGGAAATGGCAACCCACTGAACTATTCTTGCCTGGAGAATTCCATGGGCAGACCGCAGGGTCACAGTTTCTCTCCATAAAAAGCCTATGAAAAATCCTTTTTCCGATTCTAATTTCCATTTCCTCTGCCTCAAGTGATGGCTCTTCACTATTCTTTTATTTTTAATATTTATTTAGTTTTGGTTGTGTTGGGTCTTCCTTGCTGTGAGTGGATTTTCTCTGGCTACAAGAAGTGAGGGCTACTCTTTAGTTGCAGTGTTCCAGCTTCTCACTGCAGTCGCTTCTTCGTTGCAGAGCACCAGCTCTAGAGTGTGCAGGCTCAGTAGTTGTGGCACATGGACCTAGTTGCCCCGTAGCGTATGGAATCTTCCCTGACCAGGGATCTAACTCATGTCCCCTGCATAGGTAGGAGGATTCTTAACCACTGGGCAGCAGGGGAAGTCCCCTCATTCTTTACTGGACGTCTTGTAACTATGGTACTATGAGCTCACCTGGATAAGAAGACTCGACTTTTGAGAGCAGATTCTTCAAGGGATAAAACTTCAACTCCTTTATGTTACCAAATGTGGTCAAATGGAATAGTTTTCTAAATTCTTAGGCAGTTTATGATTTGAAAAACAAATACACAAATATGTGGCTTAACTTGTGTGGAGATGGATGCAGATGCTTCAAAACCTAACCTGCCCATCATCAGAAGTGGTAAGGACTATAAAAGAAGAGGAGGTTGTGATTGTGGCTCTGTAATCTATGTCATTGTAAAGAACCCCCCTGCAAATACCCTGGGCTGGTAGCTTAACAAGAGAGAGGAAAAAAACAACATTAGCATGACTGTGACATTTTCCATGCCTCTGATGCCTGTGAGCTGTTTTCAGAAATCATTTTTGGTGAACTAGTGATGATAAAAATGAATAAAATTGTAAAGTCACAATAAGCAAGCAATATAAAGGCAGAATATTATTAGTCACAAAATTATTATGTGTAAATTATTATCATTCTAATTGTATTTTCCTTGCAATAGCCATAATAACGTACACGTGTATAACATTTTATGAGTCTGAGTCAATTGCACACACTCTGGTATGCCCAGGACAGCCCTGCTTTATGCTGTTTTCAGCCAAGTTGGGCTTGTTACTGTTGTTCAGTTGTTAAGTTGTGTCCAACTCTTTGAGGCTCTAAAGACTGCAACAAGCTAGGCTCCCCTGTCCTTTACTATCTCCCGGAGTTCACTCAAATTCATGTCCAGTGAGTCAGTGATGCCATCCAACCATCTCATCCTCTGTTGCCCGCTTCTCCTCTGCCTTCAATCTTTCCCAGCATCAGGGTCTTTTCAAATGAGTCAGCTCTTCGAATTAGGTGGCCAAAGCATTGGAACTTCAGCTTCAGCATCAGTCCTTCCAATGAATAGTCAGGGTTGATACCCTTTAGGATTGACTGGTTTGATCTTCTTGCTGGCCAAGAGACTCTCAGGAGTCTTCTCCAATACCACAGTTTGAAAACATCCATTCATTGGTGCTCAGCATTCTTTATGGTCCAGCTCTCTCTTTATGGTCCAAGTTGGGCTTAACTGTTGGTAGTGTCCTGGTTTGGAGAACTTATATTAAGGCAGATTGATCAAAAAAAAATTAGTGTGTGTCATTTTCGACACTTATTGAGAGAGGCTTGGGGTCTCATCTTATCTCTCTGAACTGGTTTCCTGCTGGAAACACTGAAGGTAAAAACACACCCACCCATCCTTCACCTCAGAGTCCATCCACCACCAAGTCAGGATAACATTTGTCTTCGTTCTCTCTCTTCTCAAATCTCCCTGGTCTCCCACATTGAAGGCATATTCTTTACCATCTTAGCCACCAGGGAAGCCACTTGAATCTCCAACCCTAGTCAAAGTGGCCATCTCTTCTCATTAGGATTGACTACATAACTGGTGGATCCCAGTGAAAAATAAACACACAAGAAGGGGAGAGTGGAATGAATTGGGAGTGTAGCATTGACATATATAAACTACAGTATGTAAAACAGATACCTAGTGGGAAGCTGCTGTAAAGCACAAGGAATTCAGCTTGGTGCTCTGGATGACCTGGATGGGTGGGGTTGTGGAGGGAGGCGTGGTCCAAGCGGGAGGGAATATGTGTTTACATATAGCTGATTCACTTCGTTGTACAGCAGAAATGAATACAGCATTGTAAAGCAATTACACTCTAATATAAAATAATTAAGAATTTCAAAATGGTGACAGATTATTAAACCAAAAGCAGGGGCTTCCTATTTGCAAGGCCCCATGTGTCTGCCACCATCCTAATGCCCACCATCCGGGGCACGCAGAGTGGAATCAGGCTGCTCTCCTTATTCAGGGCTGTGCCATGAGTTAAAGATGGTACTCAGTGATCCCTTGATCTTCCTTTTTCCTGGCCACTCACTCGTATATTTGCTTTCTCGTCTGTGGCCTTGGCAAAATGACCAGGTTCTATGCGTTTCCATTTCCTGGTCAGTAAATAGAGAGGTTGATGCCTTTCCATGAAGATAATGCCAAGCTTCAGTGAGAGCGTGTGTTGCAAGGTGCAGGGAGCCGGCCAGCCTCTCCCCGCTGTGATGACCAGCCCTGGCCTGCTTGCTGTCCGTCGCTAACCTTCCCGTGTGTGTGACCTGCTGGGCTCACAGCTGGATCTGGGACCCCGAGGCTCACACAGCAGACGTGACCCCCATCCTCTGGGGCTCACAGGGAGCGCGAGACAGACAGTAGTCCACCTCAGGAAGAGCCCTCGATTCCTGCCAATGTAAGAAGGTGGAGAGAAACGCAGTCCCTGTAATAAGGGAACTGACCCTGGGGAACACAGCTTTCTTGGGTCTGTAGCAATTGAGCTAAGATCTGAAGACCAAGAAGAGGCCAGAGAAGAAAAATGGATGGGAGAGACATTCCTGGCAGAGTTCAGTGTGAGCAAAGGCTCTGGGGACTTGTGATGCTTTAGGAAAGGACCGGCAGTGAGGCTGAGCAGACAGTGGGAGGGAAGGCAGACAGCTTGCAGAGGGCAGAGGGCGAGGCTGGGGTGGGGGCTGGGGTTGTTATCCTCAGGGTTGGGAGCCCACTGAAGGCTTTGAAGCAGGGAGTTCCATTGGCCTATCACAGGGGACCTGAGGGGACTGATTGACAGGACCAGAAGCCACGGACCTATGATCTGAGAATTCCTCTCTAAGTAACCAAGGATTAAGAAATTAAACTTTTCTGGTTATCACGGTGTAGGGAACCATGAGCAGCAAAGTCTCCCGTGACACCCTCTATGAGGCAGTGTGGGAAGTCCTGCACGGAAACCAGCGCAAGTGCAGGAAGTTTTTGGAGACAGTGGAGCTTCCGATCAGCCTGCAGAACTATGACCCTCAGAAGGACAAACGCTTCTCAGGCACTGTCAGGCTTAAGTCCACTCCCTGCCCCAAGTTCTCCGTGTGTGTCTTGGGGGACCAGCAGCATTGTGATGAGGCCAAGGCTGTGGATATCCCCCAGATGGACACTGAGGCGCTGAAGAAACTCAACAAGAACAAGAAACTTGTCAAGAAGCTGGCCAAGAAACATGATGCATTTTTGGCTTCAGAGTCTCTGATCAAGCAGATCCCCCGAATCCGGGCCCAGGCCTGAACAAGGCTGGCAAGTTCCCTTCCTTGCCGACCCAGAATGAGTACATGGTGGCCAAAGTTGATGAAGTGAAGTCCACGATCAAGTTCCAGATGAAGAAGCTGCTGTGTCTGGCAGTGGCTGTTGGCCACCTGAAGATTACAGATGATGAGCTTGTGTACAGCATCCACTTAGCTGTCAACTTCCTGGTGTCATTGCTCAAGAAAAATTGGCAGGACGTCAGGGCCTTGTACATTAAGAGCACCATGGGCAAGCCCCAGAGTCTGTACTAAGGCACAACTTAATAAACCATACTAACCCATAAAAAAAAAAAAAAAAGAAATCAAAATACCTGTTTCTTTTGACTTGATTTGGATCCAGCCTCCAAAACACTACAGGAATAAAACATCCCTGGGAACAAATTTGGATAAGTGTGGCTCAGGTAAGAGCTGTGCATCTCTTTCTCTGCATCCTTAGGACAGGTCTGGGACAGATGGCCCAAAAGAAGAACCCAGAATGATCATGGCTTCTTGCCTCCAAACCAAGCTGCTGTGGAGACCGAGGCATCCTGTAGGGCCAACACACAGCGGGAGGAGCCCAACGCTTCCTCCTTGTTTAAGTAGACTCTTCCCCCCAGAAGCTGGTTTTAAACAGACCAGCCCAGCATGGAGTGAAGGGCCCTTTGTAAGAGTTTCTCCATGGAGGGGGCGTCCTAACCCTGTTTGTCCTTTGATCTGCACTGGGAAGGACAAGCAGTGCCCAAGAGGGCACCTGGACAGTCAGTGCAGGTTCTGAGGGCCTTTTTCCCTGTTCCAGTTCATGGAATGCCAGGCCTCCCTGGAAGGGAGCTTATTTACTTTGAGCAATGGAATGCAAACCTTCCATCTTTTTCCCCCAAATAATAGTATATAGAAAATTTTAATGTATGAACCAGACACAGTGAAGTTGATTTTGCAGAAAGGGGAGCAGGGGACCTAGCTTATCCCTACCTTGTCCCCAAACCCTGTAGCTGGAACAGGATGCCTCAGCAGAACTCTAGGATGCAGTGTGTGTATTAATTGCTCAGCTGTGCCCGACTCTTTCAGACCCCGTGGCCTGCCGCCCACCAGGCTCCTCTGTCCATGAGATTTTCCAGGCAGATACTGGAGTGATTTGCCATTTCCTTCTCCAGGGAAGATGCAGTGAGGCAACCTGAAATCTGTAATCTCATGGAGAGATGAGGGAACAGAGGCTGGCCTGAGCTAAGAAAAGTTGACTGTGGCATTCAGCCTCTGTCTTGACCTTACTCTCATATTCTTAAGGGAGACGTGACATGCTCTGTTGGAATGGCCTCCAGATCTGGGGTTTCAGAGTCACACTCAGGATGAAGGAAGCCTTTCTCCTGCTTCTGTGTCTCCCCTGGCCAAGTCCCTTAGGAGCCTCGAGCTGTCCTCCCAACCCCAGCACCAAAGGATGGGGCTGTGGGTCTGGAGATGAGCAGCACTGTGTTGGCATTGATTCCTCACTCGGGGCCTTGCTGACACTCTCTCGGGGACCACCCCACTGTGTGCTGTAGGATGGCATTCATTTGCCAGGGTTGCCACAGCCAATCATCACAATTGGATGGCTTCAAACAATAGAAATATATGTGCTCATTCTTCTGGAGGCTGGAAGTCCAAAACCAGGGTGTTGACAGGAAGTAGATCCTTCTGGCGGTTCTGATAGAGAATCACTTTCATGTCTCTCTCCCAGCCTCTGGTGACTTCCTTGGCAGTTCTTGGCTTCTAGATGCATCACTCTAATCTTTTTCTCCACTCATCATCACATGGTCTTTCTCTCTGTGGGTTTCTGTGTCTGTGGCTTCTTTTTTTTCCACAAGGACTTGTGATTGGATTTAGGGCCCTTCTAATCCAGGATGAACTCACCTAGAGTTCACCTTAATTGTATCTGCCAAGACTTTCCAAAAGAGGACACATTTTGAGGTTCTGGCTAGACATACGTTTTAGAGATCACAATTCAAGCCAGTACAAGGACAAAGAGAAATTTCCAGCACAGTCCCTGCCTATGAAGATCACAGGGTCCAGAGAGGGGCACACTCCTGAATAGACAGTGGCTTTCTCACCCCACCTCTCTGAGTCTAGCTTTCCTCCTTATAAACAGGGAGACACTTGCGCAAAGTCGTAGCCGAGAAGAAAGGATGTAATTTACACAGAGCTCTGGCCTCAACCCACAGCACCAGCTATGATGATTGTTTAGATCTTTTGGGGTGTGGGCAGGGCTCTGCCAGGGACCCCCAGAGGAGCTCAGTCTGACCAGGGGGAGAGGGTGACCCCTCCTCTGAGACACCTGGGAAGCGTGGAGGGAAGAGGATGCCCTGATTCCAGGGCCAGACCATCTGAATTGAGACCTTCCAGGGTACAACCCGGGCACTGGAAGTCTTGAATACCATCACGTGAGCCTGAGGATGAGAACACTGGCTGCCTTTGAAGCATTGAGTAAGAGCCGCCAACTAAAAGAGGATGGACCTTCCAGGCCGAGGTCTTAGCTTCTGGGAAAGCCCAGCAGTGAGAAGCCTCCTGCCTTGTTGGGTGCTGGAAGTTGGCTGGAGCTGCCGGACATCCAAAGGAGGTGACAACCATCTCAGCCAGAGAAGATCAGGCGCCCCCGGTGCAGAGGTGGGTGGGGGCTTCTCTCAAAGGCTAGGCAGTGGGTGCCTAGTTAGCAGGGTGCCTGATGGACACATGTGCTAAGACGCTTCAGTCGTGTCCGACTCTTTGCGACCCCATGGACTGTAGCCCACCAGGCTCCTCTGTCCATGGGCTTCTCCAGGCAAGAAGACTGGAGTGGGTTGCCATGCCCTCCTCCAACAGTTAGCGCCTAATTAAGAGATAGCGAATCCGACATGACCGGGCAGCAGATGGGACGAAGACGGAGACCTAAGTGGTGTTTACAGGCCAGGAAGGCACTGCTCCGCAGCCCCATTTGGTTGCTTTGATCCTTAATCCCAGCCTCAGGTGGGTGTCCCCAGAGCCAGACAGCACTAATCAGGGTGACAGCAGTCATACAGTGAACACAAGCGGAGCAGGGTCAGGAAGACAGAGAGAGCAAGAGAGAAGACGGAAAAAAAGAGTCTTCACGGGATAAAATTACCAGGAAAGACAGAAGGCTCGGAGCCGCTGGGGCGGGCTCCCCCGCCCAGGAGTCTGCCCTGGCCACCCCTAGTCTCCACCCGGGCCAGGCCAGCAGATGCTTCCAGTCTGCGATGGGAGCCTGGGGAGAAGGCCCGCCCCACAACTTACAGTGGGGTGAAGGTCAGGGTCTCAGAGACAGGGGCTTTCTGAACGCAGAGGAAGAATCTGGAATCAATGGACAGGGCAGGAGAAAGAGACCCATGGCTGCCATGGTCACTGAAAACCTTATCCCTTCTTCCCTCCTTCTTGTTTCGTTGCTCAGCCATGTCTTGACTCTTTTGTGGCCCTGTGGACTGTGGCCCCTCCAGGCTCCTCTTTAATGGGATTCTCCAGGCAAGGATACTGGAGTGGGTTGCCATTTCCTTCTCCAGGGGATCTTCCTGACCCAGGGATCAAATCTGCTTTCCCCGCATTGGCAGGTGGATTCTTTACTACTAAGCCCACCAGGGAAGCCTCCTTCTTCCTTGTGATGTGTCAAACTAAACAAGATACAGCCAAAGGCTGGTGTTAGCGCTTAACATTTAATGAGAGCTTCAAAACTGTGTCTCAGCTATACTTAAATGAATATTTTTTTTTTCTGAAAAAAAAAAAAAGAGAGAGAGGGAGAGAGAAAGGGGAAAAAAAAAAAAAGATGATGGCTCTGAGATGTATTCTGCCACTCAGGCTTGGATACCGATCAGTTATCTGGATAATTAAGCAGTATCAGCAGGCAACCAGATCCCCGAAACTTGATATTAATCCGTCCCTCTTAATAGTAACACAGCGCTGCCGCAGTAGAACTGAACCGAGACCTGCTAATCCTCTCCCCGAGTTCCGGCATCAGCACACAGCGCTGCTTTCCCAGAGAGGTTCAGGGCATGCTATCAGCAGCTTAAACCTCATTTCGGCTTTGAATCAAAGTATATTAGGGAAGTCTGAAAGAGTCGAGATGACTGCAGATTTCCCAGTGAGGGAATAATTCAGAACTGCCTTGCCAGTGGCCAAGGGGCAAGGCGACAAGCTTTCAGGGTTGTCTCTCTCTGAGGTTTGTGTTCAAACCAAAGGCAGCCGACAACTGCCTCTCTCTCAAGTCAGGGCATCTGGGGTTTTGCTGCCTTGATTCCCCCACCCCACTAAGACCCCACCTTGAACCTGTGGCCTTCAGACCCACTGGCGCACTGTGGGAGCCCAAGAGTGGGGATAAATCTCCACTGGTGTCCATGTCAAGTCTGGGGGGTTCTGGGTCTGCTCCCTTGCTGCCCAGGTTTGGTCTCTTGACTCTGCTCATTTCATCTCTCTCCTTCCCCTCTGGATGATGCTTTCGCTTCTGACTCCTTGCCTCTAACTCTGGTGCCCTCCTGTAGATTACAAACAAATTTCAGTTTTGGTCTGAGACATCCCAATGTCTTTACTGTGAGCAAATCCCTTAAGCAGATGTTCAGGACATAGGATCTTAAAAAAACTCACATATGTTGATACACACCAAGAAATGTCAATAAATTGCTGGGGCCAATGGTTTAAAATGACGTCTGTCCTGTAGACATGATTTTGAACAGCAGCAGAATGACCTTTGTGAAGCGCACCTGTTTGACTGTGTCCCCCGTGACTGAAGCGTCCAGGTGTTGTTTGACCATGTCCCACCTACCTAAGGCATCCAGGTACCTTGGCTGTGCTCTTTGGGAAAGACCAGCATTCTTGAGGGGCCTCGTATTGTTTTCCATCTCATGCACATCCCACCCTCATCTCTCCCATGTACGTCTCAACTTCCATCCAGCCTATGGGGAGTGTCTGTTCTTCCCCAACTCAAACCATCGAGTCTCCGCCTGAACTCCCTTCTTTGCACTCAGGGGGTCCTCCGTGTCCCCCAGCTCCCAGTTAGATCTTTCTTGTCCAGGCTGCCTTCTGTGGCCCCTCTTCCCCAGGGCCAGGTCTCAGGGGTGTCATTCTGAGAACTCGGTTTTTCCTTCAAGGCAACCTTTGAGTAGAGTGGGAATAATAATACTGACCCGGCATGGTTCGGGGTTTAGAGATAAAGGGTGAGAAAAGGCTTGGGGCCATTCCAGAGGGCAAAATATATCCATCATCTGGGGTCAGCCCTGCCAGCCTGTTCTTCAGATGGTCCCCAGAGGACTCCAGGCCCTTGT